TGCTGCTGCTGCTGCTGCAGCTGCAGCTGCTGCTGCTGCAGCCATATCCTCCATAGACCATCAAAGTTAACGGAGACACCCGGAAACTCTCTTAGGGGCTTTAAGGAGACAGCAGCAGCAGCAGCAGCAGCAGGAGCAGCAGCAGCAGCAGCAGCAGCAGCAGGAACAGCAGCAGCAGCAGGAGCAGCAAAAGCAGGAACAGCAGCAACAGGAGAAGCACTTCTGCTGCTACTGCTGCTGTTGTTGTTGATGCTGCTGCTGCGGTTCTTGTTGCTGCTGCGGTTGCTGCTGCTGCTGCTGCTGATGCTGCAGCGGCCAGCTGTTGCTGCTGCTGGCTTCTGCTGCTGCAACAGGGGGGGGGGCCCCTGGGGGCCCCCCTGGGGGCCCCCCTTCACCTTGCTGGCGGGGGGCCCCCTCGTATGGGTACTAGCCTTTGTACCCTCTAGAGACCCTGGGGGCCCCCCGCCCCCTCCCTTTATGATTTTCTTCGGGGGAGGAGGGGGCCCCCTCTGCTGCTGCTGCTGCTGCTGCTGCTGCTGCTGCTGCTGCAGTGATGCGCGAGTTGCAGCTGCTGCTGGGGGGCCCCATGCAGTTGATGGGGGGGGTGGGGGCCCCTTCTTTGAGCTGCTGCTGTGCTGTGCAGCCTTCACCCCATACTGCTGCTGCTGCTGCTGCTGCTGTTGCTGCTGCTGCTGCTGCTGCTGCTGCTGCTGCTGCTGCTGGCGCTTAGGCTGTCGCATCAACGCCCCCCAGGGGAGAGCTGCTGCTTCCTTTATTATCTCTTCTGCTGCTTTAGGGGTCCTAGGCATTTCCCTATGTTCTTCTTGAGGGGGCCCCCCTGGGGGCCCCCCCTCTGGGGGGCCCCCCTCTCCTTCTTTCTCTCCCCCTAGGGGGCCCCCCTCCTCATCTGTGTGTGTGTTGTTTTTATATTTATTTTTGTTTTTTGTTTTATGCTGCCATGGTAAGAGGTCAGAGGGTATCCAGGATGTAAACAAAGAAGTACCATTGTCTTCTCCTTCTGTCTCCTCTTCTGTCTCTTCTTTTTCTTTTTCTTTTTCTTTTTCTTTTTCTGCTGTCTCCTTTTCACCCCACAACTGTCTCCTTTCTCCTCCTAACCCAAACACACCACCAACAGATTCAGGGGGACTCAAAGGCAAACCCTCAAGGGCCCCATTCTCCTCATCATGGGGGGGCCCCCTTGGGGGCCCCCCTGGGGGCCCCCCGCCCATAGGGGCCCCTCTTCCCCCTGGGGGCCCCCGCCCTGGGGGGCCCCCCAGGGTATGTGGTTGGTGAGTGGAGTGGAGAGGGTTCATCGTCAGAGGTATCTGTGTGTGTCTCCTCTTGTAGTTTTTTTAGTTCAAAAGGAGACAGGCTAGGGACTGTCTCCGTTGCATGTTTGTTTTTTACTTTTGTTAGGTCTAGAGGCAAACTACGCACAGAACTGCTATCCGATACACACGAGAAGGGGCCCCTAGGGGGCGGGGGCCCCCCCCCTTTGCCCCCAGGGGGCCCCCGTACCCTCTGCTTCGAGTGGGCGGTGATGCGATCGCCTCATCGGCGGCTTCTTATGCTGCCCTGGGGGCCCCTCCTCCCCCTCTGCTGCTGCTGCTGTTGCTGTTGCTGCTGCTGCTGCTGCTGCTGTTGCTGCTGCAGCAGAATCAGGAGAGGGGCCCCTGGATAGATGGCGGGGCTGTACGGGGGGCCTCCCTCCAGCAGCAAATGCATGCGCTGCTTCTTTGACTTGCTGCTGGTAGTGTGCTGGCAGCAGATGAGGAGAACTACCAGCAGCAGCAGCAGCAGCAGCAGCAGCAGCAGCAGCAGCAGGAGGAGATGCATGTTGTTCTCTCTCTGTTGGTGCTGATGAAGACGCTGCATCTGGTGGGGGCCCCACAACAATAGTATAAATATTATCTATAGCTTTATCTATAAAGTCAAGTTTATTTTCTTGTGCTGCAGCAGCAGCAGCAGCAGCAGCAGCAGCAGCAGCAGAATATCTCTTGTGTCTACCTCTCTCTGGCTGCGGCCTACCATATACAGCCCATGCTGTCTTCATTATTTTTTTTTTTTGTGGGGGGGGCTTAAAGGAGAGAGGATCGACAAAGGGTACAGTAGAAACATACCGTACCCTGCTGCTGCTGCTTCTCCTTTTGCTGCTGCTTCTCCTCCTCCTGCTGCTGCTGCTCATCACACTCTTATACCGCTCCTGCTGCTGCTGCTGCTGCTCCTGCTGCTGCTGCTGCTGCTGCTGCTGCTGCTGCAGCATGCTGCTGTGGCGACGCATGCTGCCCTTCATA